GTTGCTAATCAGCCAATAAAATGGCAGCAACTCCATGCATTTAGGCAAGTAGACGTGGTGAAGACGTCTTGCTGAAGTTCAAACTGAGCATCAGTATGGGAAGAAAGGGAATTTAAATGACTTTGAATGTGGCATGGTTGTTGGTGAAATGGAAAATGCCTTGTTGATGTCAGAGGTCAAAGAATGGGCAGACTGGTTACTGCAACATTCAGATGGTAAGGTCAGAATTTGGTGTAAACAACTTGAAAGCATGTATCCATCCTGCCTTGTACCGACGGTTCAGGCTGGTGGTGGTGGTGGTGTATTGGTGTGGGGGATATTTTCTTAGCACTAACAAGGTGTACCTAATAAAGTGGCCATTGAGTGTATGTAGGGGAATCCATATTTGGTTATTACATATGCAGGCTCATGTCTCTTTTTAAACCTGATCCCACTTACAGTATCTCACAGAAGTGAGTACACCCCTCACATTTTTGTAAATATTTTATTATATCTTTTCATGTGAGAACACTAAAGAAATGACACTTTGCTACAATGTAAAGTAGTGAGTGTACAGCTTGTATAACAGTGTAAATTTTCTGTCCCCTCAAAATAACTCAACACACATCCATTAATGTCTAAACTGCTGGCAACAAAATTGAGTACACTCCTGAGTGAAAATGTCCAAATTGGGCCCGAAGTGTCAATATTTTGTGTGGCCACCATTATTTTGCAGCACTGCCTTAAAACTCTTGGGCATGGAGTTCTCCAGACCTTCACAGGTTGCTGGAGTCCTCTTCTACTCCTCCATGACGACATCACGGAGCTGGTGGATGTTAGAGACCTTGCGCTCCTCCACCTTTCATTTGAGGATGTCCCATAGATTCTCAAAAGGATTTAGGTCGGGAGAGATGCTTGGCCAGTCCATCACCTTTACCCTCAGCTTCTTTAGCAAGGCAGTTGTCATCTTGGAGGTGTGTTTGGGGTTGTTATGTTGGAATACTGCCCTGTGGCCCAGTCTCCAAAGGGAGGGGATCATGCTCTGCTTCAGTATGTCACAGTACATGTTGGCATTCATGGTTCCCTCAATGAACTGTAGCTCCCCAGTGCCGGCAGCACTCATGCAGCCTCAGACCATGACACTCCTACCACCATGCTTGACTGTAGGCAAAACACACTTATCTTTGTACTCCTCACCTGGGTGCCACGACACACGCTTGACACCATCTGAACCATGTCCTGTGGTCTCATCAGACCACAGGACATGGTTCCAGTAATCCACGTCCTTAGTCTGCTTGTCTTCAGCAAACTGTTTGTGGGCTTTCTTGTGCATCATCTTTAGAAGAGGCTTCCTTCTGAGACGACAGCCATGCAGACCAATTTGATGCAGTGTGCGGCGTATGGTCTGAGCACTGACAGGCTGACCCCCCACGCCTTCAACCTCTGCAGCAATGCTGGCAGCACTCATACGTCTATTTCCCAAAGACAACCTCTGGATATGATGCTGAGCACGTGCACTCAACTTCCTTGGTCGACCATGGCGAGGCTTGTTCTGAGTGGAACCTGTCCTGTTAAACCTCTGTATGGTCTTGGCCACCGTGCTGCAGCTCAGTTTCAATCTCCTTATAGCCTAGGCCATCTTTATGTAGAGCAACAATTCTTTTTTTCAGATCCACAGAGAGTTCTTTGCCATGAGGTGCCCTGTTGAACTTCCAGTGACCAGTATGAGAGAGTGAGAGAGATAACACCAAATTTAACACACCTGCTCCCCATTCACACCTGAAACCTTGTAACACTAACGAGTCACATGACACCGGGGAGGGAAAATGGCTAATTGGGCCATATTTATACATTTTCACTTAGGGGTGTACTCACTTTTGTAGCCAGTGGTTTAGACATTAATGGCTGTGTGTTGAGTTATTTTGAGGGAACAACAAATGTACACTGTTATACAAGCTGTACATTCACTACTTTACACCTCCTAGATTGTAAGCTCCAAGGAGCAGGGCCCTCCTAACCCTCTTGTATTGAACTGTATTGTTGCTGTATTGTCTCCCGTTATATTGTAAAGCACTGAGCAGGGGCGGACTGACAACTCATGGGGCCCCCAGGCAATAGGGGGTCATGGGGCCCCTGTGTCCTTGCCCAAACTCAAAAAAGCCTATGAAAAAGGTACCCGGGGCATCTCATGGGGCCCCCTACTGACCCGGGCCCTCGGGCAGTGCCTGAGTTTCCAAATGGTCAGTGCGCCCCTGGCGCTGAGCAAACTGTTGGCGCTATATAAACCCTGTATAATATTAATAATAATAATAATAATTGTAGCAAAGTGTAATTTCTTCAGTGTTGTCACATGAAAAGATATAATAAAATATTTACAAAAATGTGAGAAGTGTACTCAGTTCTGTGAGATACTGTAGATATAAACAAATAATGACTGTGGGTTTTTTTTAAATTTTAGTTGATGTTTTTTTCAATTATATCTCAATCACTAAAATCTCAGGATTTAAATTATAACACAGGGGAGTCCAACCTTTTGACGTACATGGGCCACATTGGAGGAATTGTCTTGGGCCACACATAAAATACATCACTGATATAGATAATGTGAGTAGTAATCTGAGTAACAAAAACAATGAAGTAAAAGAGTGCAACATAAGACTTATGTGTTATTTGACACTGTTTTTGATAAATTAACACATTGATATCTGGTTTGATGGATGTAGTAGCAATTCCAACTGAATTCTCAGTGCTAAGGGTACTAACCAGATATTTTGGCTCTAATTTTGTCCTTCGTGTCCTGATGACATGGATAAGGTGTGATTGTGAAGAACTGGATATTTTTCTTATAAAAGACCAGTAAACTGTCAAATATTTCTTTGACTACATGTGTTCGCTAAGTGTAAAGGCGTTTTTTACAAAATATTCCCCCCCCCCCCCAAAATCAAAATTTTTAAGGAAGTTTACGATTTTGTGTTTGGCCACATTCATAGCCATCTTGGGCCACATGTGGCCTAAGGGTCACAGGTTGGGACACCCCTGCTTAACAAAAAACTGTCACTCCCAGCACTCAGAATACTGCCACTGCCAAAAGGGGGCCAGAAATGGATATCCATGGGTTCCACTGGGAATGACTAGCTGGTTCAGCCCTCCTCAGATGGGGGATCCCGTTGCAACTACAAAAAGAAGGAACAGGATAGCGCAAACACCTAGTGCATTGCCAGCTATTTATTTTGTATAAAATTCAATAAGCGCCAAGTGGATACTCACAAAAGTAGAAGAAAAATACATTTTTAACACTATCTACTTCTACTTTTGTGAGTATCCATTAGGCACTTATTTATTTTATACAAAATAAATTGCTGGTAATGCACTAGGTGTTTGTGCAATCCTGTTCTTTCTTTTTGTGGACACCCCTTGTATAACATGATAATGTAATCCAAAAAGTTGTTTTAAATCTTTTAAAATCTTTTAAAATCATGCAGCAAGTAAGAAGTTAATTCATGTAGGCACTTGATGCCTATCATTATAATAACACATATGTCAGCCACAAAGCCAGGACTTTGCCCATCCCCTTCTCACTTTGTTTAACTCACTGTAATGCACACCCTGACTGACCAATAGTATGACATCTAAAATGGGAAAAAGGAGGCTAAAACAGCAACATCTTAGATGGAGGTAGTGCGTGCTTAAAACCCATTTGAAGTTTTAGCTTAAATCGGCTAAATTCATTCCAGGCACATTCCAGGCACAAAAGGTGTCCAAAGTCTTTCAATTTGTTCTTTTTAAGAAACAGCAACAGCCTGAGTGAAAAAGCGTGTCCCCTGCCAGCAGGTTGCAGAGAAGGACCTTTACTCTCTGTGTAGAAGCAGTGGCCACTCTGCCGAGGTATGACACATCCTACTGTAAGCCAGAGCTCTCCAACTAGAAAAGCCTGCTCAGTAGGGGGAGTGTCTGACTTCTGCAGAGAGACCACTGCTTCCAAACAGAGAGCAAGGGTCCTTGCCTGCAGCATGCTGGCTGGCGAGAGGTTTTCTACTTAGGCTTGCAACTTTCTAAAGAAAAGAACTGTAAGACCTTGAACACCTTTTTTTTTGTTTCGATGCACCTAGAATGTAATTAACTAATAAACGCAAAGTTCAGTTGAGCTTCAAAATGGTTCTAAAAGCAGGTTTTTTACCTTAAAGCAGGGTTTCTCAACCAGGGTTCCTCCAGTAGCATGGCTAACAAGCTGCTGATCAGAGCTATTCACCTCAAATGTACATAGCCCCCCCCCCCCCCCCCCCCCCCATCGATGCTGCTGCTTCCCTTTCTTCTCTCTTTCACCCTGCCACAGTTCATTTATTTAATGCCCCCTTCCACTCTACTCTCAGAACCCCCAGCACTGATTTCTGTCCCCCCCACCAGTCCAAGCTCCACCCGCAAATCCAATCCCCTGCAGCTGCTGGCTTTCCTCCCCTGCCTCTCCCCCCAGCTTGCTGCAGGGAATAACATGTTCCCCCAGCCACTCCGATCTCCCCCCCCCACTCTGGCCCCCCACTCACTGATCCCCTGCAGCTGCTGGTTTTCCTCCTCTGCCTCTCCCCCCAGTTTGCTGCAGGGAATAACATGTTCCCCCAGCCACTCCGATCTGCCCCCTCCACTCTGGCCCCCCACTCACTGATCCCCTGCAGCTGCCGGCGTTCGGCCCCTGCCTCTCCCCCCAGCTTGCTGCAGGGAATAACATGTTCCCCCAGCCACTCCGATCTCCCCCCTCCACTCTGGCTCCCCACTCACCAATCCCCTTTGGCTGGTATTCTTTCCTCTCCCTGCCGCCACCTGCAGCTGCTGATCCACTGTCAGGATGGAGAGCAGGCAGGGGGAGGGGGGGGGGGGGCTTGGTAAACATGTATTTACCAGCCCCCTCTCTTTCCTTTAATGGATACAGTCAGCAATCACTACTGATTGCTCATGTAACCATTGATAACAGAATAGTAATCTGTGTTTACTATGTGTCAGTTTATGAATGAAAAGTAGTCTCTATACCAGGGGCGGACTGACCATTTGGAAACTCGGGCACTGCCCGAGGGCCCGGGGTCAGTAGGGGGCCCCATGAGATGCCCCTGGTACCTTTTTCATAGGCTTTTTTGAGTTTGGGCAAGGACACAGGGGCCCCATGATCTCCTATTGCCTGGGGGCCCTATGAGTTCTCAGTCCGCCCCTGCTCTATACAAACTCCTTACTCATGTACAGTGCAGCTTAGGCTTCAGAGAAGGGAACTGCCTTCAGTCCCTCTCTCTGTCTCAAAAAAGAGACATCAGGGGTCTGTTTAGACACCTTGTCAGTCAGGGTGTGCATTACAGTGAATTTTATCTCACCAAAGTCCCTCTCCCCACCCCAACCCCTCAAAAAAAAAGTATAACATATAAAAAAATAAAATTGTAAAAGAAAAATCATATTTTTTAAAAAACATAGTATGGCCTCATTCCTGCAGGGCATATACAGTGTATGCCCCTGCAAGGCTGTGTTTACCCGCACAGGGATGCATAGGTGCTCTGTTCATCCCTGTGCTGGCAGTCCCATTGATGTCATTTGGGATGTAGCAACTACATGAACACAATCGTTGCTCCCATTTTGACATTGTTGTGGGTCCAGGTGCATATTCCTGAGTAGCGGCTATGCCTGTGCAATTGATATGAATGGGACTGCCTGCATGGGGATGTACGGAACACCTAGGCATCCCCATGCGGGTAAACATGGCCCTCTGCAGGCATACACTTTATTACGCCCTATGTGAACGAGGCCTTAGTAGCAATTTAGCAGGAATTTTAAAAAAGTTATGTTGTGTTTGTATGCACTAATGATGATTTTAGTGTATCTTTAGTGAAAGTAGTGATTTGATGAAAATGTGCACAACTACCACAGGGCCTAAAAATTCTGTAGCACTTTTTATTCTACAGATCATGTTCTTTTAGAAAATGTATGGTTTGGGGGTTCTTTTCAAATTCTGAAAGCTGTAAGTGAAAGATGGTAACCTCCAGATTTTGAGACTACATTTTTATTTACAGTTTTGCGCACATTCTGTTTTCATCATTTCACAAAAAGGCACAATTTTAAATTTACAAATATTTACTATTTAATAATTCAGTACAGTTTTAGCTTCTATATTTAGTAGGAATTTTGTAAATGTTGTCATGTATATATCCGCTAATAATAATTTTAGTGTATTTTAAGTGAAAATAGTGATTTGCTATACACTTGTGCAACTATTGCGGGGTCTAAAAAAATCAGTAGCACCTTTTTTTTATTCTATAGGTTAAGTGCTTTCAGAAAATATATTGCTAGGGGGTCTTTTACAAATTCTGAAAAATGATAACCTTGGATTTTTAGAGTAAATTGTTTTTATTTACAGTTTTGAGTTTTCCCTATTTCACAAAAAGGTACAATTTAAAATTTACAAATATTTGTTATTTATTATCTTATTACAGTTTTAACTTGTATATTTTGCAGGAATTTTGTAAATTTTGCCCTGTATGTAACCACTAATAATGAGTTCAGTGTATTTTCAGCAAAAATATGGTTTTGATAAACTTTTGCACAAATATCACAGGGCTTAAAAAATCAGTAATACCTTCCTTTTATTTTACTGGTCATGTGCTTTCTGAAAATATATGGTTGGGGGGGGGGGGGGGGGGGTGTCTTACACAAACTCTGAAAGCTGTAAGGGGAAAATAAAAAAAAAATAGAAAAATTGCAAAAACCGCCTGGCCACCTGAGCTTAACCACCTCAATTCCAGGCACTTTTACCCCCTTCCTGCCCAGGCCAATTTTCAGCTTTCAGCACTGTCGCACTTTGAACAACAATTGCGCGGTCATGCAACAATGTACCCATATGAAATTATTATCATTTTTTTTCACACAAATAGAGCTTTCTTTTGATGGTATTTAATCACCACTGAGTTTTTTATTTTTTTGCTAAATAAAACAAAAAACACCTGAAACTTTTGAAAAAAACGCACTTTTCTTCATTTCTGTTATAAAATTTTGCAAATAAATAACATTTCTTCATAAATTTAGGTCAAAATGTATTCTGCTACATTTCTTTGGTGAAAATAATAATAATAAATAATTTTTTTTTCAAAAGTTTCTATTATTTTTTTATTTTTTATTAAATTTTTTCTACTTTTGTTTTACTGTTTTATTTTTCAGCACACTGTGACCAAAGCAATACAATGTTATCATAGTAACATTGAGCTACTCTGCGCAAGTGAACAGGATTTTTTTTTTTAACACATTATGATTGCTAATACCAATGTATTTCATTCAGAAACTGATTCATTCAGTCTTTTGTTGTGATCAGCTGTGATTGGGCAAAACTGATCACATGATACAGATGGGCTGTGATTGACCCTGTCTGTATCATGTGACTGCCTTGACCAGTCACAGCTAACAGCATATTTGTATACAATGGATGGCATGACAGGAAGCCATTCATTGTATACAATCGACATGTGATCTGCTGTGATTGGTCACAGCAGTCACATGACACTGTCAACAGGCCAGTGTAGTGATATGTCATCGGCTGTGTCCTGTGGACACAGATCGCACTGCTGAGCGGCTCGTTTTGACAGGATGTCATATGAGGCCCTGTCACAATGAGCAGTGTCCCACCCAGTTGTCAATCTGCTATAGGCTGGGCGGGAAGGTGTTAAAAGTGGAGCACAGGGCCTGGCAGTGAAAGGGTTAATGCATTCTATGCATTAAGGTAAAAGAGTTTCTGCATGCAGCCCCCCTAAATATTTACTTGAGCCTGATCTCAATCCAGCGATGTGCACAAGAGCAGTGGGAGTGGGGTCGAGCCATGCTTCATGTGTCTATGGACACACAGAGCCAGCTCAGGAGCAAGCCTATACAAGTGCCTCCATTGCAAGCAGCTTCCAATGATGGGTACACGTTGGGGGGAGGAGCCAAGAACGGCAGCAGAGGACCTGAGAAAAGGAAGATTGAGGCTGCTTTGTGAAAAACCATTACACAGAGCAGGTAAGTATAACATGTTTATTATTTAAAAAAAATATCCTTTGCAATCACTTTAACCAGTTGCCCAGCACCCTATAGCAGAAATACTGCTACAGGGTGGCAGAGCTGCGCAAACTCATGTATGTATATATATATATGATTTGCGTTTCTGGGTATGGGGCGTGCGCCACCCTACCCGCGCCGCCATTGGCGGCTACGGATGTCAATCACCGGGTGCTGGCCGGACATTCTCCCCCAGCACTGGGCGATCGCTGAGTAACACTGACAGGGGAGAGACCTGTGTGTAAACAACACAGGTCTCTCTCCTGCCAGCAACAGCATCATGCTGTTTATTTCTCTGCACAGCAGAGAAATACACAGCAGCATGTTTTCCTAGTAAAAGAGACACAGTACATGTTGTAAAACCGCACACAGTTAACCTTTTGATCGCCCCCAGATGTTAACCCCTTCCTGCCTAGTGCCATTAGTACAGTGTCAGTGGTTTTTATTAGCACTGATCACTGTATTAGTGTCACTGGGGATGTCAGTGGCGTTAGTCAGTTCCACCCAGTGTCAGAATGCCCGCCGCAGTCCGCTATAAGTTGCTGATCACCGCCACTACTAGCATTAAAAAAAAAATTCCAGTATATATATACACCGCCATTTGTAAACGCTATAACTTTCCCGTAAACCAATGAATTTACACGTATTGTGGATTTTTTGTTAGCAAAGACGTAGCAGAATACATTTTGGCTTAAATTTATGAAGAAATTAGATTTTTTTAAATTTTTTTACTGGATATGTTTTTATAGCAAAAAGTTAAAAATATTGTTTTTTTTTTTCAAAGTTGTCAATCTTTTTTTTTTTATAGTGCAAAAAATAAAAAACGCACAGGTGATCAAATACCATCAAAAGAAAGCTCTATTCCTGGGAAAAAAGGACATGAATTTCATTTCATGTAGTATTGCATGACCACGCAGTTGTCAGCTAAAGTAACGCAGCGCCGTATCGCAATAATTGGCCTGGTCAGGAAGGGGGATAAATCCTCTGGAGTGCAAGTGGTTAAAGTGGTAACCTGTTAAGGCTTTTAAAGCCTCACCTATTCTCTAGGGCTTCTGCTTTAAAAATATTTAATGTATGGCTTTTTTTTGGTGATTTTCTAGAAAAAAAAATACTGATTTTAACAAAAAAAAAAGACGTGGTGGTTAAAGGGCAAGTGGTTAAAGTTGTAGTAAATGCTACTTTTATACTTTAACTACAGGTAAGCTTATAATAAAGCTTACCTGTAGGTAAAATGAAAATTTCCTAAAAGTGCAGCATTTAGGAGATATTCTAGTGAGCGGCAGCCAGTGATATCACGGGTATGCCGTTCCTTCAGAGCTCTGTGCCGCAGTCGTAGCTCCTGCGCATGTGCGTCATCACAACCTCGACCATTCAAGTGGCAGGCACCTGGAAAGAAGACCCGGAGAAGATGGAAGCCTTTGCAGCGGTGACAGCGCACCACTAGAGGGATCTGTTTTAAGGTAAGTATTTCATGCAATGCATACTAGCACATTATGCTTTTACCTTGCAGGAGAAAATCTTTATTTTTTTTTTATAAAATTTACTACCGCTTTAATAGAGAATCTATGGTGTGGAGCTTCAAAAGCTGAAAGTGGACTAATGTGGTAGAATTGTTTCCATAAACACTGAGACGTGTACTCTTTAAATCCTGCTTACCAGTGTCATAGACGTATATCGTAGACCAGAGAGATGTTTTTCCAGGTGTGACAGTGCTTGTGAATTTACATTAGAGCTGGAAAAAAATAAAAAAGAATCCTGTTCTGAATTTTAACAAGGAAAAAGATGTTCGGTAACAGCTTGCTGAGCAGATGAGCAGAAAGATTTATCTGTTCCACGACGATGAATCCTTCACTTCTTCATGATGTTGTTTTATTTCATGGCAAACCATCACAGTAGGTCTGAACCACGCTAAAAAAAAATCAGGCATATCGGGAGGACAGCAGAGATAAGTGAATCTTTACAAATCAGCTTATCAAAAGTCCCCACAATTCTGTGCATATGTTTCTGCTGAATGAATAAACTAATTAATTTATCAAACAATGAGGAAACATTGCATAATTCTGAGAGTTTAATATTGTGATTCACTTCAAGTGCAACACCAGCCAAAATATTGTATTTCATTTCGGATAGAGAGGGGAGGGGTTAGAGCCTCCGTTTGTTTTTTTTTA